AACACCTTGCTGGGGTCGTTTGACTCCAATACTCTTTCCTGCCATGGCAGGGGGTCAGACTCAATGATCTGCTCAGGTCACTTCCAACCCTACAAACTATGAAACTTGACACTAATAATGGAGGCCACATTTCCTGGGCTACAACATAACAATAAGAATGGGGGCCACACTCCACCCCTTCATGAAGGTAAACTTCTCTCTTATTATTGTGTGCCTCTTGGCCCCAGGTATCTTATGAGCTCCATTAATCTTGCAGGTAGCAGATCAGGGCATCAAATGTCTTTAAGTAGTTCTTCCCTGCAAGAGCTCCTTCCCCTGGTGACAGCCAGGGAACTAACTCCTGCCAGCCCCTGCCCTAGGGCTTATGTTCGCGCAGGGCCCTGCCTCCTTCCAGTCAGCTGACTGGGTGCAGGTGCTAGATAGTTCCCTAATTAGCTTGCTGCAACCTGCAGCTGTGGGGCTCTGCCTCAGCTCACAGGGCTCTCTAGCCTAGCTGGTTCTGTTCTTAAAGAAACAGCCTTAGCACCCTGCAACAAATACCATTTTGGTTTACCCAGGTCTGTGGGAGGTTAGTTCTATGCCACAAGTGAAGTACTGTAGTCAGAGACAGGTCTCTAAGTCACCATGTTACAATGTTCCAATCCACAGAGATTTTAAATTGCTCTTCGCTGCATTAAATTGTAATAAAAAACAAAAGTTAGTGAAGAGAAGGGTTAGGAACAAAGCAACCTGCCACTAACTGCAGGTGACAGGTTATTTTTAAAGGATGATGCTTAGCTTTCAAATCTAGATTTCCTATTCATGCAGGAGAGCATGAATCAGCTGATATTCAAGGAGTATTGTAAAGACCTCCATGAGCCCTTTTCCAGACAGGGGAAAAAGGCAGGTATTATTTAGGTTATGCTTAATATATTTTTATATTAAGATCTTATTGAAATGATTTATTGATGTTAAGAATGGGCATTACTTTTAAATGTTTTTATATGGATCCAGAGATAATTGTGAGAGGCATATGCTTAGAAATAGTAAATAAACCAATAGGTAAATAAAAAAAAAAAAATACACTGCTCAACCTACCAAAATGTGACTGGAGGCAGAGAAAATACATATAACTTCTTATTTCCAAGTTTTAGCCTCTTTACTTTATATATTAGCTGCAATATTAAATAAAAAAAACCACACACTTACTTTGTGTTGCTTTGCAATAGTGTCAATCAAAAACTGAGTTCTCACATTGTCAACATTTGGAACCAGAATAGATGCATATTCCGGGATACTGTCTGTTGGATAAACATATTCTTGAACTCTTTTACTCCAGTGTTCCCAGTCACCTAAAAAGCAACAAAAGGGAAAATGTTTTGCCTCATATTTCCCTGTACACACCTAGCACTTTCACTAGTCCAAATACTGTTTTTCCATTTGCTGAGAGCCCCAGAACAGCTCAGCCACAGGTGACTCACAGCAGAAGCTGTTATCTGGGAAGTCAGACAGATTTGGAGAAAAGCCCTTCCTTTCTCTGCTTCCTAGCTCAAAGAAAAAGGAAGGTGGTGGGGGAGGGGGAGGGGGAGGGGGAGG